TCCTTTAGTATGGATTTCAAGCTTGTATTTTTTCCGAAAAAATTTCCTGGAAGTGTGCTGAGTAATTTAAGACAGCGGCGAAAACAGGAATTGGAAAAGCTCGCATCTTTCGAGACCGTTACGTAATAATCGAGTCTAGAAACTCTTCCTCTACATGCTCTGAATACACCATACTTAGAAAGACGGATTTTCTTCCCAAGCATCCAAATTTTTCTAGACATGTTTAAGTCGAAACCCTCCCCCCCCCCCCTACTCATTTTCAAGCGCTCTAGGCCTAGGTTTTTCAAACGATAATCATATCAGGGCATTTCAACAGGTTTTGTGCGGTAACAGCGGAAAAAAAACTAGCTTAGTGAACAAACGCTGGACATGCCCAGGACTCTCAGCGTCCTTTTTCTTATACGGGCTCCATACAGGTGAATTCCACTCTACAAGAGGACGCACATAAACCTTGAATAATCGTGGTAAGAAAGAAGGATTTCCCAAGATACGAAACAGTGCAACCCGAGCAGCATCAGAAGCTTTGGAGATATGGTACCCGAAGGAGAGGCTCTAATCAATTACGATTCTCAAGTCATTGGTTCTCGAAACAGCGCATATGGGAGTATGTGGCCAAAGAAAGTTTTGCGTCTGAGGACTGTTCATACTTAAGTGAACAAATGTTTCACTCAGTGATAGTTCTAGCTGCCACTGGTCTGAATAATGAACCAATTTAGTTACTGAGCGCTGTAAAATCGAATGAGCCAATCTTGTTTTCCACTTGGTAAGGGAGGAACATTTTCACGTCGTCAGCAGGCATGCAATTTTGGACCGAAGGGTGTGTACGACAGCATTTTGGAAGATCATGCACAAAAATGTTGAAGAGAAGCGGGCTCAACACACTGCCTTGAGGTACGCCACTTGTTACATGCCTGAATGTAGAAATTGAATTTCTAACCTTGACACAAAAAATTCTGTCACTGAGAAAAGATTTTATCCAGCTTCAGAGATTACCCCGCAGACCTACATCGTCCAACTTGCGGAGTAGTTTTGGGTGGCTGGCAGTATCAAACGCTTCAGCAATCTCATACTAAACAGTGTCGAACATGTGACGCAAAGATTTATGGTACATACATGTCCTGCACACTGTCTTCAAAGGATACCTTTTTCCGGAAACTGCATTGTCCGTGCCCATCAGGAAGTATTATATATTGAAGCGATCTATAAGAATATGTTATTTTTCCATTACTTAACACGCAGTGGTAGTTATAGGAATGGGTTGGTAGTCAGTAGGGGTTTTTGGTTACGATTTTTTATTGAGCGGTGTTGTGATGGAACGTGTGCCAAGGGTACAAGTTCATTAGCGCAATTCCGGAGAAAGATTTGAGGAATACCATTGCGAGTTTGCGAGCAAGAAAGTTAAAGCCTTGTTGCATGTAAAAGAACGTCTTGAGGAAGTTTTTAAAAAAAAGCTCAATATATGCTTGAAATCGCTGTTCGTGTCAGGGATGACACCATTATCTACACCAAAAAAGAGAAAAAATGATCTGCGAGAAGTTTGACCTTTTTAGAATCACTGTTAACAATATCACCTTTGCCATTGATAAACGCTGGAATTGAGCTAGGCGCCTTCAATCGAGATGACATAATGGTAGAGTTGCTTGCTGCTTTTGGAAGAAAATAAGACTTTTTCGCGATTTGTGACATATTTTTCACTGAGCTTAGTCAACTCCTGTGAAACCCTGCCATAATGTGGCGGGTTGTGTCGTGCCCGATATTGATATATGCTCTTGATACCGTTGTTGCTACGCGGGTCTTACAATACACCACACTTGTGAAACCGAGGTTTATTAATATCTAAACTTGGGTAATTAAACCATATAAATAAGATACATAATAAATACATTCAAAAAAGGCACCAACCAACGTACATGCAAAAGGCACAAGCCGTCGAGGATATGGCGTATCTATACGAGATGTGCGTATAAAGCGAAAGTGAGTGATATTCGATTAGCGTATAAAGCACAAGAAAACAAATGAGCATTCCTGATAGAAGCGTAATAAAGAGAGTTATAAAAGGCGTAATAGAAAAGCGTGGAGAACATCAAAGGCAAGTGACCTCTGTCCCCGTTCTGGCGTGCTTATATGTATGTGCGAGGCATCGAGCCTCGCACGAATGGAATGTGGCACCTTGTTTTGTGAGAAGGTTAAGATAAGGGAATGTTTCCAGTTGCGCAAGGCTGGATGCGCCCAGATTGCAATTTAAATCGCGTTACAGTTGCAATACTGGCGACCACGCGTCAGAAAGAAGTTACAAATGTTCAACTACGACAACGCATACCATAATATTATGCAATTGACCGCGTATAAGGTGATATATATTATTACACACAATAAACACGTGTGCAACAATATTGCGTAGACCATGGCGTAAGGTCCTGCAATTGTTTTAGAATGCGCTCAATTTCTCTCCTCCTGTCCTTTAGGGCCTTTCTCCTTCTAATTGTGCCGTTGTAGCGTCGCTTATTTTTTTCCGCTCTTTGCGGCCATCTACACAGCGCTGAGTGGTGGCCGGTCTCGTTAAAATGGTAGCATCTGGATCTCTATTTCTTACATGCGTGTGGTTCGTAGCGCACTCTTAGGCAACGTTCACAAGTGTTCTCGCCTAAGACGATCTGTTTGCGGTGTACTACGGTTCGATATACTGGCAGGAATCGGAGTAATGCTCTCCGACTCGTCCACAAAAGACGCATTTCATTCCTTTCTCATCCTCTCTGGTTATGCCCACTTCTCGAAACTCCTAGGCTCGCAGTTCGGTTCCATGTCTAATCTGTAGACTAGGTCCTCCAGTTCTTCAATCTTTTCTTCAAGGTCTTTATATTAGTTTATCAACTCAGTCCTCCTTCTTGCGATTTCCGCTTCTAGTCGCCGATCATAGTTTTCCTCGTCCTACATCACTTCTTTCATGTGCTCTGCGTTCAAGCTGTGTTTTAAGGGTGTTGTCTACAAGCAGTTGTGGGTGGGTATGTTGATAAGTTATGACCCTTTGTAAACGCCTTAGAGCTATTGCTCTATTCGTGGAAAGAGGCAGGTGGTTTGCCTTAAATGGTAATCCTGCTAGAGTGACTCCGGTGGTTCGTATCTATGCCGCAGTGCACGTGGCGCAACAGAACTTTATTTTACCTCAAACTTGGGTAATTAAACGATACAATCTGAGGAAAGAGTTGCAATAACAACAATGAAAGGAGATTCCTATAATCGAGAACCCAGGTAAATGGCAGAAGGCATTATAAGGGTAAAGCATCATATATGAGCGTATGGTAACATGAGCGTATATGTGTGTGATACCAAGAAGCTACGTGATTCAAAGAGGTTAGGGGCGAAATCGCAAAAACGAAGAAGCACAAGCGTTTAAGAGGAAGAACTGAGGGTTTAGCGCGAACGGTCGTTGGCATTTGCCTCATAAGATCAAGCTGATAAGCGTAAAATACAGAAACATTCTCGACAAAAGAAATCTCTAATCAGATGAGAATGCTGGTAGCTCTGGAAACGATGGATCGCTGGAAGCTCTTTGAACGAGGGATTGCAAGAATCGCGGTCTAAGCGCGATACCTGCGTAATATCAATTATTTCAGCGTCCAATGGTATCATTGAAAAATTTAAGCGCTTCCTCATTGATTGCGACCTTTTCTGCGTTTTTCGTGCGTGTGAACTCCCATATCCCTACGGAACCTATTATCCAATATTTGTCCCAGCGGTGCAGATCATTCTGGTTATCTGTAAGCGTTTGAATCATTGTCAGCATGCTTGGTTGAACGACGAGTTCTTTCAAGTGTTGCTTCTGTGTTATCTGTTCCTTTCCCGTTAACATCGGGGTTGAATATGAGCGTATGCTGTGATTTTCTCCTTGATTGTCCTTCAGTTCGACTGATGTTACCCCGCATCTCGTGGATTTTGGTTCTGTAGCACCGAAAGTGTACATATTCAGCTCACGTGTACTCCTTTACACTCTAGTCCGAGATTGTCTGTTAAAGCTTGGTTGACAAAGATTGATCAGCGCCTGTGTCGAAAAGAATTTCGACTGGTTGCCATTTATTGCGTCGTATGTTCCATATGCGACCCACTCCGTTGAAGTATGACGTTTTCCTTCTGCGCTAGGTCCTGCCGATTGACCGACGAGGAGTTGATACTGCCGGTTTCCTTTATCCTGTGGTCCGGGGTTGTTTTGCGGCATCACTCCCAAATTTAGAGTTGGTGGTTCTGTTGAGCAACTTTACACCTTGTTACATACGACTCTTTTATTCCCTCGGTTACTAACAATATAAAGTCTGACAATAAACAACATTGCGTGAGTTTGACAATACAACATTGCTAGAGTCATTTTACATCAAATTGCGCCATCGCCTGTCAAGTCGCGCCATCGGAGGAATAAGGAATCCCAATACTTCCCTCTGCGCAGATATAGTGGTTGCGTTGGCAGTGGCATTCTCTAGCCGTTTTTGCAAGACTCTGATTAGTTCTGCGTCATTACCACTTTTTTATTTAAAAAATTAACTGCGGAGTCGTAGTTATCTTCTGCTACGGGGTAGCGTTCGATCGATTCGCGTGCCTCCCAGTGTAGCGCACTCAATAGATAATTGAATTTTTGTAAATTTGTAAGTGAGTTTTGCGTACCTACATTTGCTTGAAGTGAAGTCCAGAAATTGTTGCCTATGAATCCTTTTAAGCAATAGTATAGCAAAAAATAGAAGGTAAAGCAAAGTTGCACCTGATCCTACCATGTATCCAAGCAAATCGAGCGTCGGCGCATCCTCTTTTATGCGAACTAAGAGTGCATACATTTTTGCGTTGTTTTTCGGGAAAGTCTACTATTTCAATCGGATAAGGAGGAGAAGAATGCAATCAACTGTAAAGCATGGGAAAGACAGTCATATACTAAAAGTGAAAGGAAATACATGGAATTAAAAGGCATGATTCACTATAAGTTATATATGATCACAGTTGTGATACTGCCGGCTAGCTCATGAAGATGGTCCTCCATATTGATCTCCCAATCCTGAAAGCTCGGTATTCGAAAGGTCTCGGTATTCGCTCTCGTCTCTTTCGATTCTCTCCGGTAACGAGCACAACGCGTTATGGTGAGAATCTAGACCGCAATATCTGTACCTCATCCTTCGTCGCCAACATCTACCAGTAGAGTGCAGAGTGTCGAGGCACTTTCGGCACCAGACTCGTCTCACATGCATCAACATCTCTGAAAAGAGGGCAACAATCACTGTAGTGTTGCCCTTTCTCGTTACAGAAGCCGCAACGGATGTAGGTCTCTTCCACGCTCAGAATGTTGACAAAGGAAATGGTTCGTCGCGGTGCATGCCGCTTCGAGTAAAGTTTTTGTTTTAGTCCGTCCATCCGCAACAGTAATTTGCGCCTCTTTTGCTCCACGGTCTCATGCACCTCATCTTTTTCTCTGCGTGTTGCATTTCATTCTTTTTCTGGAACTCTGTCCTCGATCACTTGATGAGCATCCTCATATTCGAACTCGAGTACGTCATCAGCAACTTCGCCTCGGATAGCGGCTTGATAGACGCTTCTTCTCCAACAGTAACTGACGGAGGCGTACTGGTATCTTTCTTCTCATTGGCTGTCGATGGGCGTTCACCTTCATTGTGATCTTCCACTTTCAGAGGGGAGCCTTTGATTCTCTGGATATCTTCTTCAAATGCATTCATCTTGCTGGTTAGTTCGGTGACCTTTTTCCTTGTTTTGAAATCTCTTTCTGGAGACTTCCCAATTTCGCTTCCATGCTCCTTTGCAGTCCAACGACTGCTTCTTTCAAGTCCGTGAACACACTCCTACGATCTTCGTTCCCAATCTGGGTTTCTGCATTCATCATTTCATTTGCCATGCACCGGAGCATCTCGTCCAAGAAGTCATTCGCCTTATGAACGTAATCACTCACAAACTCCGGCTCCATCGGCAATCCTTCGATATCCTCCTCGTAGAACGCGTTCCTCGAACTTTCGGTCACCGCCTCTGCGATGATCGAGAACTTATACGCTTCAATTCGTGCGTCAGCGACACCAAGCGTTTAAATTCATCGCTAACTAAAGCGTATGAGGTTTGTAGGGCGTTGGCGATTTCCTCGCACCTCGTAATTATTTCTTTTAGATTGCCACAGTAACGCATTGAAAGAGCCTTTTCCGTTCTTAGGGTCATAGAACCCACTACTTGAGACATACGCGTCGAGTATTGCGTTACTATATGCGTATGTGTAAACGAATGCGTGTGGAAAAGAAGAAAACGTACTGCTTCCTCGACCGTTTGCCGATGCACCAAACGTGGTTGGTTGTATTGATCCGATATTGATATATGCTCTTGAGAACCGTTGTTGCCACGCGGGTCTTACAATACACCACGGTCGTGCAGCCGAGGTTTATTAATTCCTCAAATTTGGGAATTAAACCATATGAATAAGAAGCATAACAAATACATACAAAAAAGGCACGAACATACAACATACATGCAAAAGGCACAAACCGCCGAGGATATAAAGCACAAGGTATAAAGCACAAGAAAACAAATGAGCATTCCTGATAGAAGCGTAATAAAGAGCGCTATAAAAGGCGTAATAGAAAAGCATGGAGAACATCAAAGGCAACTGACCTTTGTCTTCGTTGTGGCGTGCTTATATGTGCGAGGCATCGAGCCTCGCACGAATGGAATGTGGCACTTTGTTTTGTGAGAAAGTTAAGATGAGGGAGTGTTTCCAGTCGTGCAAGGCTCGATGCGCCGAGATTGCAACTTGGACAGCGTTACAGATCCAATACATGACGCTCTTTGACACCTCTTCCATTTAAGCAATGAAATAGTGTATTTCGATGTAGCATCAACTCTGAATATATGCAGGGAAGTTGGGAGTCCTATTACGGCGTGTGACAATGATTGGTACGTGATAACATATCATAGAAGTGACTGTATCACAAAGACTTCGAAGGAAATAATCGATGTCGCTGTAGTTATTAAACAATTGCTCCCAATTGACTCCAGAAAGGTACCGTTTCATGGACTTATAATCAGCACGTGCGAAGTTAGGAGATGGAATAGGTGTGGGATCGGGTGCATGCAACAAAAGTGAAAACGAGACAATGGAATGATCAGAACTGCCCAGAGGATTCAGTAGTTTAGGCATGATGATGAAATTTCCACCATCAGTAAGGACTAAATCAAGGACTTTACTCCCACAATTTGGAGAAACTACATGCTGTGAAAGACCACGAACCTTGAATAATTTAGCATACTCTTTTGAGCGCGAGCATTTGGGCGATGGATTTGGAAACCAAGAAATATCCAGATTGAATCCACCAACAAGTACGACAGGGCAGACAAAATCAGCAGCGAATTGGGGGAGTCTACAAGTTGCCTGCATGTGCCAGCCCTTATATTGGGAGGTCTGTAGCAGTTGATGGGGCGGAACTGATGTGCACCGTGGAAGATGTCAACTACCATTGATGTAGCACCATCTACTTTGAAGCATAAGGACCATATGTGGCAGAACTGATATGATCACGTATTATGATAGCTACACCACCACCCTTAGTTTGTCTATCTTCTCTGACAACACTATAGGGGAGATTAGAAACCATGTGGCCATTGGTGATTGAACTACTTGGCCAAGCTTCCTGCAGGCGGAATACATCTGGTTTGTTGTGTTTTGCAAGAGAGCTCACCATTCCAACTCAAGATAACAACATATTCGTCCAAGCAGTCTAACACAGACTGTACATTTGGACATTGGACACGGGGACGAATTTAGAATCAAGTGGTATCCTTCTACCATTCAGATTATCATAAATACAATCCTTTGCTATAAGATAGCTGCCTCCAGTTGTTTTGATAAGATGCCTACGTTGTTGTTCGCGTAAGGCAAATGCGATCCTACGTTCCTTCGCATAAAGGGATGGCCGTTTAAAGGCACTACTAAATTTAGCAGACTTACGAAGTGAAGGAGCATTACGGAGGGCAACAACTTACTGAATACAGTCACCCGAAAGCACACTAGAACAACGAACCACCCACGGGCCGATACAGTCGGTGGGTGAGATATATGCGATACGCACTGCCGTAGGTGTTTTCAAACACTTATCTCAAATTCACATCTCAAATCTGTAAGACGATTATGGGGACAAATTTAGGAAATCGCTTTTCCTACATTCAACCACTGTGTCGAACTGATAAACGAACCGAGAGTTACCTGACTCGGGACGTCTCGAAAACATGAAACTCCTATGGTAAGTCCCTTGCTTTGTATTTCAGGTTGAAATATTCTGCTGTTGGGGAACATCAGTTCGAAGCCTGTGTGGCAGCTTCAAACTGATGTTCCCAACGGCTGAGTAATTGGGCGTGGGGGGCTGCCTCTAGGTGGTAGTTGTTGACATTGGCGCGAAGGATTGCTAGTATTTTATGGGTAGTTGGACTGCCTCATGGACTCGATACGTTCCTGGTTTCGGCTCTGTTTCTATCTCCAATAAAAATTTTGAAGACTGCACGTTTTCAGGTTTCAATGAAATGGTATTCTTCAGGAGCATTTTTTACAGCTAAGGCCCTATGCAGAGTGCCGCAGTCGGTAGGACGGGGAACTCATGGGCATCATATGAAGGTTTGAGTCCTTGGTGCACACGCTCGTTTCACTTCTTCATGAAACGTGCCATGAACTATGGAAAAAACATTTTCACGTTTCATATCGACAATCTGCGACCTTCCCTCATATTTGAAACATTGGAAATGTATCTTGGGAAAAAACTTTCTTGCATTTCGTCGGCGGAGTTAGCGTTAGCTCAATTCCAGCAAGGGTGAATCGCGACATCTTGGCTCAAAATGAGCTTTGAGAGTTGTAGAGAGGAAGATGATGTATCATTCGAACAGCTGAAACTCTCTTCACAAGCGCAACGTTTTGCAGTATGTTGACGTATTTGTTAGAAGACTTTAGTTACTGCGATAAGGTGAGCACCATTTAGGAAGGAATGAAGGTGACAAAACTCATTTAACTATATCTTTTGATGCTATGTACATCACCGTTGCGAGGAAGACGAGTTGGCGAGATCTTGACTTCCATCTGCGATGCCATCGAATTCGCTATTCAATATTTTTTCTACTCGAAAAATCAAAGTTGAGCGTCTAAAGCTTCGTGCGTATTTTGAACGTATGATCTCTCATCGCAATAATTTTTGGATTAGCGCTTCCAGAGCGAGCCATTTTGGGCTTCGTATGAAGCGTATACTCGAAAGCCTGATAAATCGATCTATAATAATAAATAAATATCTTGAGGCAAAACTCATACACTCAAAGGACCCCACAAAGTTGTATCGGTACATCAATGTACGTCCGAAGGAAGAATCTCTCCGCGCTAGTTTTTGATGTTACTTATTCAGCTAATGAAGACCACGATAAAGCCGAACTTCTTGCCCGTTGCTTTCAGCGAACTTATATGGTGTCCGAAGGTGAAGTTTGTCCAGATTTTACTGTTAGCTATTTTACTAATGAACCTTCAATATAGTTTTACAAAGAGGAGATTTTCGATGTGCTCTTGAGATGGTCTAGTTCCTCGTCGGTTACTCCAGATTTTATTCCATACGCCTTCATCAGAGGTATTCTCGCACATATACTCTATCCTTTAGAACATCTTTTCAATTTGTCGTTCATGCAAGCCGAGGTTCCTGATCGTTGGATACACTCATTAGTCACTCCTGTGCCTAACAATAAGAAACCCCGCTAAAAGCCGGTACATTTAAGGTCATGTAGAGCAAGCGAAGAGAGACCCTATCGAAGGCTTTAGAATCATCAAAGTTAACTACGTGCACTTTTTTGTCTCATTCATGGCTTTCGTCCAATCAATAAAAGAAGTAAAGAGGGCGGTTTCAATTGAGCCCCCTTTGAAAAAACCGTGCTCCTGGTTTATACTACTCGTTGAAATTTATCGTCGCCGAACAACACTGCTCTGACTATTTTGAATCCATCTCGAGCCTTCCAGCGTCTCACTTGTACAGGAAAATGTAGGGTTAGCAAGAAAGTTCTGCGACAAAAAATTCGAAGCGTTAAAAATTTTTGTAAACATTGTGGACACGGTGGCAAGGAAGATAAACTACTAGGACATTTCCTTGGCAATCCAAACATGATTAAACATGGACAGGCCTATCCATCCCCGTCCGTAGGCCTCCGCAGCACTACCGCCAATGAAGGGACAACACCCGCTTCATACCACTCTTCTGCAGGGCATTGAAATGGAAAAACGCGGGTATAACGGCTAGAGTTATCAACAACCTAATGGATGCTAGCACTGATCACCGATCAACCGTCCACAATCGGTTGGATCGCTCACTACTAAGAGATGCTGGCCTTCGAGGTAACGCAACCATCGTATCATAGTTTTTAGTGTTTTGAAGGGACTCATCCACTATGAGTTGCTAGGTGTAGACTAGATAGTCACGGTCTAGACGAAAAACGTAAAACACCAACAAGTAGAAGCAGTGGCTGGTTTCACAGAAGCACCACAGAGGATGAAGTCTTTCAGACGAGGTGAAGTCTTGGAGAGAGGTTAGACTTGGTGGGATATTGATTTAGGTATTTAAGGCGATATTAGGTGGCTCAGCCACGCCAATGGACACTGTCACGTCGATCAGGTTGACTGCGCATGCCATGGAAGTCCAGGAGCGACCAGCCAATCCCAGATTGTTTGAGTTTGATCCGAGCTCTCAGAAACATTCCGGATTGATGCCTGGAAGGTCTACAACGGATGCTATCTTCATATAATAGCTAGACAGGTGATGCAGGGGATGGAGAGCAAACGCGCGTAGATGCTACCTAACCTTCTTCGATCAGGAATGACCACCTACCGCGTCCAGTGCTCAAGAAAGAAAGTAACGTTCCACAATAGTATCCCCTGGTTAAGAAAATCTATAACAGTTCTATGAAAGCTAAATGCCCCAGCATCCTAAAAAAGCCATTAAGCGCCACGGATAAGCTCAAAGTATTGAGCAGAGCCATGGTGAAGCTACTGAGTTAATTGAGTCACAGATAATTGTCAGACTGTTTGTAACGGATGCGTTGATCACAAAAACACCTCAAATCAATTTTTCGGCAATGTTGCATAACATTTTTGGCGATTACAAGCCAGATTGATATCTACACTACAACATCATCTCCGAGTGCAGATCACGAAACCACAATACTTCACTTCTGCACTAGGGCTGACTAGAAAGCATATTTCAGAGAGAAATGAACAATGAAGGGATGACTAAAAAAATCTGAAACCTTCATTAAAAGCCATTAAAAGCGCGCTAATAGAACATGTTTGGATGGAAACATCTCTGTATCACACTGAGAAACCACTATGGCTGATTTTATGCATATAATAGTAGAAAGTATGGCGTTCCGCTTATAAAAAGGAGTTTTGTGCATAGGGCTTAAACACCACATTTTGATCCTAAGACAATAGTGGAGAGGTTGTCATGATCGCGTCTTTTGTGCGCCAAGCTGTCAGAGGTCGCAACAAAGAGCAGGAAAACGGGATTGCCACAGAGCCTATAAAAGTCTGTAGAATGTGGCGAGATTTCAGCATCTCCAGAAACTGAAAATCGTCTTATAACACAATATTCTATGCCAATTACTGGTCTTCGAAACATAGAATGCTTTCTCATATCGTTTTACTCGGAGAAATCGTTTTCTATGAAAAGCACCACTGTTTTACGGCGATTTCCAATTTTTGTTACATTCCTCGTGACAACTTTAAGCTCATGAAAAGTTCTCATACACTCTGTGAAATAATCTATTTAAAACCAATTTAGCAATGCGTTTCAATATTGATTCATTGCGCCATCAGTCAGCTAGCAGTCACGCTTTACTTGTAGATATGATATCTGGCTTCTTTTTTTTAAACTCAATTCTCACTTATTAAGAAGCAGATTACTGCAGCAGGATCCCTCTTTTCTTTTCTTGAAACCACGACTATTAGAAGGGCACATTTCGGAAGGAAATGTTTCTCCAACGTACTATACTCTTTGAATTCAGAACGACTACGTTCAACAACCCAGCCACTAACTATTCTGCTCACTGCTTTGCCTATGCTGCTATCAAAAACTTTGTAGGAAGTCTTCATGACTTCGCAGTAACGAAAAACAACGATTGTTCAAAGAGGCGCTGCCTTAGATATGACTACTTTCACACATGTGTCTTGACCTCTGCAAATTTCTTTCTAAAATTACGTCGTATAAGTTTGAGGCCTTCCAGATGTGTCGTATCATTTCTATTCTTGCTGCTGTAACCGTGGCCACAACGTCTCTGCCAAGTACCACCGTATGTTTTACTTAAGTGCTTAGCCCTGCCGATTTCAGCTTAGTTTGTGTACCCTACATTGTAGAATAGTGGATCCCTCACGACATGGAGAGCAAAGCGACAATGTTTTATGGGCAGATGTGGCACGACACCTATGTGCACAGTTTGTCCCTCGTGCTGCTCAGACTCTCCTCAAATGGTCATGGAGATGGCCCCTCCAAAGAGTTGTTGTGCATCACCAAGACCGTCTCCAACCTGTTGCCAAGCTCCTGCACCACTCCCTCCACCTCCTCCACCACCAGTTGTTTCCACAGTTCAGTGCTGCAGAGCCGCTCCCGCTCCGTTAAATCCCTGCTGTCAGGTAGTATAAAAATGAATCTATAATATCTAGATTTCATATTATTGTCACACTTTCAGGCTCTAGCGGCTCCTCAGCCACCATCTGAGCAGGAGCAGTGCTGTTTAGCTGCGCCATCTCCAAACAACATTTGCTGCCGAGAAATGGCTCCAATTCAACCACCAGCCCCTCCACCTTGCAGATGTGGGGCTCGCATGAATGAAATGGAGTGCCCTGGATGCATTTCTTACAAACCGAGGTGATTTTTCATGTTTCAACATTTTGTAATATCAGTCAAATGTTGTTGCGTTACTAGCTCAACGGATCTGTTTGCAGGTGTAATCCAATCGCAGTTTCCTGCAGATTAGCATTCCGCGTCCGGAGAGATGCCCATTACAAGATGTTGTCTCATCTCAGCGAACCCTCGTTGTGACGAGTTTTTGATTAATCATCGAGCCTTCACTCGTTATTCGTTGTTTATGGCCAAAAATTGTATCAGTGGCCCCTTAAAATACAATAAATTATTTCCTATTCTGTGATCAATTTTATTTATTGCAAATTTTTGTATTTTCGGTCAGAGTGAACCAATGAAATCCAAGCTTCTTTCGAGAGTTCAGAAACTGACCAGATTTTCATGATCTTCTATAACCCGTATAGGGATCCATTCAAGGGAAGGGTGGCACCGATTCTCTTCACTCTATGGTTACCCATGAAAGATTGCCTGCTTACGGTATATGGGAGATTTTCCCATTGGGGGCGCCAACCGACCACAGCATCTGCAGCACCGCCTACCGCTGCCTGCCTATCTCTTGTACTTTGCCGGCTACTAAGGCGCCGAGAAAACCTTGAAATGGTTTCCAATCAGACATTTCAGTTGCTTTCGCCCTAAATTGGTCGGAGTTCGGGTTAAGAATTCCTCGTGGATTTGAGTAGACGAGTAAAGTCTTATTCAGTGATACAAAATGTGTAGGGCTCATAATTCACGACGAAAGACCGAGTAATAGTCAGTGAAGACGTGACTAACTGAAACCTATGGAGATGCAGGGCGTTCATATCCTCTCCCGTCGTCTGCCCTCAGGGTTTAGGAGTGAAGGCGCAGTGGTAGCAGACTGTTAGGCATCTCGCGAAGGTAATAATGCGCAATTTGCAGCTGCTATGTACCAACCGATTGCAAGTGATTGTACAGTTCTGGCTGAACATTGCAGCGATTGCACTTTGCATAAAGGTATCGCAAAGCATGAGCCTACCGCGCGTGATGGCCGTTTACGCATATTACTGGGCTATGTCAGGATCAGAAGGCACGAGCCCTTTATCTACCTCATTACGCTCTTTAGTCTAGCAAACGCTGACCAATGCATAGAAAGAACTTCGTATTGACTATATGGGCTAAGGGATAAGGAAAAGTGCCACAATGATACATTGCTTAAAACCTTCTCGGTGGGAGGGCTCACACAAGAGCAGGGATTCGTGGTACAGACGAAATTCAGGTACGCAGGCGTAGCCCTCTTTTGCCTTGAGGCGATTTATGTACACTGTTTTGCATGATGATCCAGCCACCCATGAATTTCATCAAAACTCACGTTCTAGGGCACTCCAGGAAGAAGCTCAATACGGCAGTTATGCCCTACTCGGACCGCAACTTGTAGAACAACAACGAGTCCAACCTCAATAACGCGGACAACTTTCCCTGCATTTTTTCGGAAAAAGTCACTTCGCCTATATTGCAAAATGATAAAGCCACTGACTGAGTCAATTTGTTCAGCAGCTGGTGGAGTTATGGTGGGGAGAATCTTGAGGAATTTCCTGAGATTACGGTCTATTTCTAAAAACAAAAAACAACCACACTGTACCAATTCATCGTTATTGGAAGTTTTTTATGCAAAGAAAAGAAAGAAGAAGAAAAAGGAAAGAAGAATTTTTTCAGTCACAAAACACAACTTAACCGTTCCATAAGAAAATTTTATTTCCACACGTAACGAGATCAAGCCGGGTAATATACAAAGCAATCCAGTGGTGCAATAAACAATAACAAAGTATTTTCTTACAGAACACAACGCAACAAGTAGGCGAGAAAGATCAATTTGCTAAATGATTTCGAGAAACAGAAACGGCCGAAGTAAGCTTCACAAAGGGAGTACAGCCTCTTGATTATCATGTCAACAGTCAAGTAAAAAGATCGAAATATTCACAGGAAAACTACCAAAACAGCAGTCTACTCATCCTTCATCTGCTCAAGAATTCTATCAGGACAAAAAATAGTTTGCGCATCGCGACGCACGCGCTCCTCATACGCTGCTCTGAATGGAAATTTTTCATTACCGGGGTCAATCTGTGTAGAGAAGTTGGCAATAAAATATGAGCTAAATAAACGAGTAATCCATTCTCACATAGCAACAATGATACCTGTTTCTAACGTAAGCTAGATAAGCGTCATCTTGTGCAGGATCTTCGGGGTTCGGATCGTCCAGGAAGTCCTGTATCCCAATAAGAATTTCCCTGAGCGAGATTGATGATTTCCATCCTAGTTCCTCATTTAGAATAGACAGGCAGATCCTGCCTGAAACGAAGAAACATAGCAGATAAGCTTTTTCACAAAAAAAAAACCCGCAGAGCCTAGGAGTTCGTGGACATATCATTACAAAGTTGACAGCTGTACTGCCATCATTCCAACAAGTAACGATGTCTTTTCAATTGTGGCACGCGAGTTCACTCAATTTGACCATCTTACTGTAAGCCATCGTGGGTGTAATACAGTAATATTTAAAACGCAAAGAACCTTACAAAGAGTGGCGTTCAAATTTCCCGCATTTACTACAAAGAATCCGAGTCTCTTTACGCCTACTCTTTTATTCCTTTAATTCGATCATTACATCCACTTTCGCCGAGCCCAGGTCACAGAATTCATACAAAAAAGTAAAAACACCTATTTACCTGAATAATAAACATTCGGATGGTAAACCGGAGGGTCGAATTTGCAAACTGGTGGGGTTGAAGGGTAGTCGTCATTGAAATAAACATTAATCTAAAAACCAAGATGATTTCAAAAAGAACTGAATCAATAATTCATTTCATTATTACTACCGATGAACACCTGAGAATTGTCAATTTTCCACATGAATAAATAAAGAAAAAATGGTGAACTATAAGTAGAAAACCTTGTACAGCCCGCCCTCCCAAATAGTGCCCTTTTTGCCTGGCACTGCACAAGTCCACTTGAATAGATTCAAGGTCCCATCAGACTCCTTCGCTGGCTTAGCAACGAATCCGAGAGGATGATCCTTTCTCCAGGCCTTTCTCTCTTCGGCAAGGCGGAATACGGCGATGCCGGACATCTGTAAACGTAGTTATTAAGTAGAGCTGCAGATGCTTTGTGCTGAACTTATGGCTCAGTTTGAAGTTAGCAACCCATATTCACAATCGGTTTGGACGAAAGTATCGTTTGGGTATGGCTCAGGAAGCTTCATTGCGGTCGCCGCGTGCGATGATTTCAGCGGATGGCGCCAGCGATGCTAACTTCAACTTATTCAACAGGCGCGCACAAAGGTTTCAACAGCGTTTCAGTGAGAGAGCGCAGACGACAGCAGAAAACTCATGCCCCGAGTTGTCAATGGTTGTCAATCATGCAAGCATGAAACGAAAGAACAGAATTAGCAGAATAGTAAAGAATAAGAAGTAAAGGAGCTACAAAGAAATGATGATTATATAGAGCATATAGCAATGGATATAAATCTTCAATAGTTTTATACACGACAAGAAATTGCAGAAATTCTTCCAGAACAATGGACAAGCAGCAACTTGAACCCTGGAACTCATTCATACACAGGCCTTAAGGGAAGCTCTAGCCGTTTATACGCACAAGCCATGAGATAAGCTATGTTATTTTGAAAATTAGCTGTCGAAACGGCAAGTACGTTCCCTACAACCTATACTTGACAGGACCCAACAACGTGAAATCGATCACCACAGATATTTTTACTGAGTGATGGTAACGGCAACTTGTAATCAGCGGTGGCTATTGGCTCAATGCGAACGGTAGCGGCAACCCGACGTGAGTGAAGGGACGCCGAAAAGTGATGATTCACCAACGCCAGGCTACCGTAATCTATNCCAATTGTTATGTTCATGAACTAGTTACCCCGAAAGCGCTGAATATACTCTACTGAGACTCCTTTCATTCATTGGGCGAATTTTTTGGCGATCTCTGATCATTAAAGAAGGAGCTTTTGAATACTACTTCTAGTATATATTTTAAGCCATCTGCACACAAGGTGAGCGGGAAATTCGAGTCTAAAACAAATGAAGGCGTTATAATAAGTGAAGTAGAGAAACTAAACGCTTTCTTAGAGGGACTACAGTTTCACCTCATATTTGATTACTGAAGAAGCACTTTGTCGACCTGTCCCCTGTAAAAGCGTCGAAAAAGTGCCACTCCCAGTCAGGTTGCTCCCACTGAATGCGCTCTCCAGTAGATTGCAGGATGACGCATTTATTTTAAACAACAAATAGGTGCCTACCATCCCATTATGGATCAGGATATGGATTGCCAACAAAAGCCCTCAGTGGTCAAACAATGGAGCACCTTGTCAGTACCTCTTAATGCTGGACCATTAAGGAGAAGTATTGACAAAAATATAGCAAACAAGCGTCGTAGACTGAAGAAGTGTGGGCAGACGGTTGCACCACTTTCACGAGATCGTTACGACGGTAGCGAATCAAGTATCTTCAGAATTTTGGCCGTTGGTTTAGGTTTTGCTCACCCCTTCCAAAATGGACGCAAAAAATGGCCCGAAAAAATAGTTGGTGAAGCCGACGTAGGACTGAATTCCCTCAAAACGAGGAGAACACTTTTTTCTTCACTCATGTCGCCAATGGATATTGAAGTGCAAAAGGTATGACAGTGAAAACGTAGACGAAGATCCGAAACTGCTTCAGCATTGAGCGCAGATTGGCCACGTGCTCAACGTTCTGGGTTCAAAACTACTCTCAGCCAATAGACCTTCCAAGGTTGGTGAAACACACAAGTAGTCAGATATGATATATGGATAGTACGACAAGAATTCCGAGAACCTGGCAATCAAGTTCGTACATGAGCTACGGAGTAATCGACCACGAAAGCATTTACGTGGCTACAGAGTTTTCAGATAACTATGAACTACATCCGAAAAAATTTACTTTATGCTACTTCAGAGTCTTACCGCAGTCGAGGTATGAGCCAATAGAAGGCAGGTCGCGGCAGCCGCACCAGTGGAGTGCCGAGGCTGATCAAAGGGAAGGTAGTGGTTGATTGGAGCGCGCAATCTACTGCAATGCTACTGAACGAGCTCCTACCTACTCAACACTGTGAGACAGCTATCAAAGGCTCGCCGCGCATTCTCAACGAACCTTGCCTTACTCGGGTGAAAAACGCATAAGCAACCAAATAAATTCATTAGATTTCAACGTGGTCTACGTGAAATCCGCCCCACAATAGTCGCTAAACCCTGCGATCCCACCATGAACTCTAGCGCCTTAAGGAGGAGGTAAGAGGTTTTTTCCCTTTCTGAGAAATAAATCGTAGTTTACTGCAGTTTGGAGATCATCGAATCCCTTCAAAAGCCAATATCTGCACCCTGTCGCTGCCACGATCTAATATAGTCCGTCGGACTCCACAAGCGAGGGTCCAATAGGAACCAACAATTCTGATGAGAAGTCTAAAAATGTCCGTTCTAATGATTGTTGAATCCGAGGAATCCACTGACGAACTGTTCTCACACCTGAGCGATATGTGGGGTCGTTCCATTCATCTTGAATCAATTTTGACACTTGGGCCGTTACAATGACTTTAGAGAATGCACGCTTTCTTTCGTAAAATATTTCAAGTTTTCATAAAGTGATAAGTTGAAGTTCTCTTCTTCGTAGCATGATGTTGGTGCGTTAGGGAAGAATTTTAAAATGTTGCTACTGAGACACAATACTTGAAAATTGAATGTTCTTTCCTCTTTCAGCTTTATACACTGCTTTGCATAATCATAGAGCCACCTGAAAATTTCACCAAAAATCACGTTCCAGGGCACATCACTAAAAGGCTGAACATGGGAATTGTGTGCCACTCGGACCTAAACTTGTAGAGCAACAACGAGTTTCTTCTCAATAACGTGGACAATTTTTGCTTCGGAAAAAGTCATTTGCCTGTACAGCAAAATAACAAGGCTACCTCATATTTTCCCGTAAATTTCCATTCTCAGAGAAAAGATTCCTGCAAAAAAGAAACAGGGACTGTCAATTCGCAAAATCGCTCGAGATTTTGGCCGATACCACTCATTTGTTGACGATTCCGTCAGGAATCCCAACGAGTATAGAAGCAAAAGGAGTACGGGATGTTTTTCGAGGAAAGCATCGAATAGTCATGTATGGAAATAGGTCCTCTTCAAAGCTCAATGTCCGAATGATCAGTGTTGGAACGTGATAGAAAGAAGTTTGAGTTCATCGCTGACGGAAAATGAAAAAGGCATTCTTTATAATCGAAAAGCATTGCGATAACTGCGTCGCTTTTGTCAGGAATAGCCTCCAAACCGACTGAGGTAAGCTGCCTTGTCATGGCTTGTCGTTTACTCTTCCGACTCATGTTTCGTTCTTGAGGTTGTTTTTTTTTGAATGAAGAAACTTGAACTGTGATGCTCCAGGTGGAAGCCTGTTCTACTGGCACGATCTGAGGAAGGGTAAGCTTCAGTTTTCCGGACGAAATTTCAAGGGAGGAGTAGCCATGGTACGGGCGGCAACTTCTTCTGTTAACGTTTTCGCTTATGGTTCGTTCCGAAGAAGCTCAGCTACTCCATGCTCTTCTTCTTTTTGGTGTCAGATTAGCAGCAGAACCTCGTATTCATGCCAGAGTAATGCCACGATTCCCGTCAGCCGGTGCACCCAGCCTCGGTTCAGTGGGCACCAAATCAACCTGGCTGGCCGATAGCCTGGACTTGAATCTAATGGAAAACGTATGGGGATTTATGATGAGGAGATCTATGAAGCAAACAAGCAGCTATGGATGCATAGGTGAACTGAAGAAAGCAATAGTCAACGGTTCGGCACCAAGTTAACCAGGTACTCGTTGATAGCCTTTACTTTAGTCGTATTTTGAAACAATCCGAAGGAATGGGGGCTCAATCAAATACTAATCATGCGACATTTTCTCTTTGTCGTCGTTTAGCTGCTGAATTAATCGATTCAGGCAGTGGCTTTATAATTTTGAAATATAGGCTGTGACTTTTCCGAAAAATGAAGGGAAGTTTTCCGTTATTGAGGGGGAACCCGTTGTTGGTCTACAAATTACGATCCGAATAGGGCACAATTTCCACATTGAGACTGTACCTGGTGTTCCCTGGAACGTGAGTTTTTGGTGAAATTTATGGGTATCCGTATCATTACGCATATTAATGTATTAAGTTGGAAGGAAAGTCCTGCAACAAAATGAAGATTTTCAAATCATTTCTGGAATTTTCCAGGCCAATCAATTTTCGGAGACATAGTTACCAAAGAGGTCAACAACCTTCTATTATCCCTTGAGTAAATCACTGATGCCTTTCATCCAGGAGTGAGGAAGCTGTGACTCAATAAAGTAATTGACTACCATTTTCAAAACAAATTAAGTTACGATTTTTTTCCACAACGGTATGCTCAAGAAGGCGGAGCGCATGGTAGGTAACAGGGGCAACACGTAGGGAGTACGACTGATGAACAACCTGAAAGCAATTGGAAACGTAGAGCTTTTGACGCGTGTTGAAAGCGAAATCTCGACGTGCGTTGTCTCTCTGTAGGGACCTTATTTACGGTTTTGATCGTCCTTCTCTAACCCCGTTGGCCACATTTCGGGATTCATAGAGGTGACCGATAGCAGTGTCCATCTTGTCTGCGTTCAGCAACTCATAGTGGTTGGATTCCTTCAACCTACAATAAATTAATTGACGATGCTTGGGTTACTTCGAAGGCTAGTATCTCTCCCAGTGAAGCGATCCAACCGATTGTTGACAGTTGATTGGTGAGCAGCGCCAGCATTGAATAATTTGATGAAATTTAAAGGTTGCTGATAATTTGAGCCGCTACACCCGCGTTTTTCCCTTGGCGTGCTTTGTAGAAGGTGATGGTACGAACCGGGTGCCGTTCGTTGACCGTAATGCTGCTAAAGCCCACACGCGGCCCTTATTTACTCATGCGTTGATTACCTGAGAAATGTCCTATAAGTTTATCACTCTTGCTATAGTGTTCACACTATTGATACAGATTGTTGACGCTTCGAATTTTTTGTTGCAAAACTTTCCTTCCAACCTAATAGTATCTGAATCGCTATCATGGCTAGTCCGGTAATACAGCAGTTGGGACTTTGACCTCGTAGATAACAAACGCTGCATTCAGGACATAACGGCCCACTCAGATGTTTTGAGTTTTCTGTCCAACATGTAAAACTCAGCAGCTTCGTAGCGAGCAGAGGGAGTACTCAGGCGACAATCTGCAGATTGTCAGATGTCAGCAAAGATTCCTGAGTTCGATATCTCAAGGGGATTTCTAAACGTTGGTGAAAGTTACTTTCGATGGTTATTCTTCAAATGGCTGTTGGCTCTTTCAAATAAACTTTTTTTTTCGTAGAAAAGCCATTCCATTTCCCCAAAAATTTGTGAAGGTTATGTTAAATAATTGGCAATGTAATTGGATTCCATTTCGGGGATTTCCTATGAATTGTTCTCTAGGCAGCAGGCACTGACAAAAGGTCAAAAGGGCTGTGCTCATTTAGCTTTTGTGGACTGAACTTCAGAGAAATAGCGAAAAGCTTCAAAAAAGGGAAATCGTGGGTGGGAGACTCCAATACTTGCTTATATCTGGAGAACTCAGTTTCTTGACTTCCAAGTACGGCTTTCTATGAACCTCGGCATAGTTGTATACTGTGTTGACTGTTTTCTAGAGCTCTTCACGAGGTTTGTATGAGCTTTATTAAGCTGACGTTTCGGCGGGGTCGCCTTCTTCAGAGCCTGAAGGGATAGCTAATTCTTCTCACGCTAACGTACCAGCTCAGTACGAACGGCTCGTGAAAGAAGTCCTTTCGCTAAGACAGAAAATTGTCCTAGCTCGACAAGGAATTACTTTTCTCCGCCGCTGTTTGGATCATCGCGTAGTTCCGAAGTTTATCTCGAAGAAGAAGTTGGGCGATCTTTTCAGCGGCCCACGGTGAGACTCATCGAAATGAGACTGCTTCGAATGGCTATTCGAGCAAAACGTGATAACATGTTTGCTTTGATAAACAAATGTGTTTCGAAAGAACATTGTTGTGCCCAATCCTTGGAGGAGCACCTTTGGAAGAGAATAGTGAGTGGGTCAATTTCAATTTGTGATTCTATTCGATCTAAGGTCAAAGCGTCTTTACAAAAGAAGTTCGATGACCTCTGTGATTTGAAAGGGGGGCCTTCGCGCACTATGGCTGAACGATTTTCTAGGAATCATGAAGCCGACGCGACTGGCCAGCGGAGTTTGTCTGAATCTCGAGTCACTGTGTTGGGAGGCTTCCCTCTATTTGACTGTGCTCGCTCGATCTTAGAAATGGGCCCAAGTTTTTCACCGTCGCAGTCCATCTCTACAGCTGTAATGCAAAAAGTGATGTGCAGTCTACATGAAATTCAAGATCGACTCCGTTATAAATCTAGGTGTGATAACGGCTTCTTGGTAGTAGAACAAGCCAGAAATGTGCCCTCTAATCCCTTTCTAGCCACATTTTTCAAACAGCAGGAATCGCACATTGATTCTGATGCCAATTTCCGGATTTTTGCCGACGAAATTTTTTAAGGTGCTTGGTAGGTTTCAAAAACAAAACATCACCTCTAATATTTCACGGGAGCAAGCACGTGGTATTAGGGAACTCCGAGACCTCATAAAGTCTCGGGTTATAAGATTATCTGTCAGCGATAAAGGAGGAGAGTTTGTTGTGATTCCCAGGCAACTTGATTGTGGGATAACAGAACACCATCTGGGAGACATCTCTACCGCCCGGCTTCTGTTAAGGAGTTCCAAACGCAGTTTCGTAGAATGAACCGGATGTGAGTTTCAGTAGCAAAGTCAGCAGGATTGAGTTCAACATTGATAACACGGCTCAAACTGGAGTCACCTTGTTGTCCGGTCCTGTATCTGCTCATAAAGACACACACGTTTTGGATGCAGATGACTTAGCTTCAATCAACCCAACATCCGTGAAAG